GTAGAAAGTCTTCATTCCCTTAAAAATCTCGATATTTAATAAAATTTCTGTAGGTGCCGTCAAGATTTACTGCTTTTTGTCTTGGTAATGAGTTGGCTTTTTTCTCTTTTCTGTGTGTCTTTTGATGTTTTATAACATGCCAAACATTGATATAAAAGAAGAGGGGCCTGCTGTAGTGCAGTGCGTTGGTAACATGCTGCTCAAGAGAAGCCCGGTCCCGTGTGGCAACATGGTTCTAACTCCCAGCCCAGTTGGTCTGAAGCACATTGGGCTTGTGCACGGGTGCCCAAGATCCAACAGGCTGGAGGACTGGAGGAAGGGGATCAGTGTGGCTGGGCCCTGTGGAGGATGCTTGCCTGTCCTGCTCTCGCTTGCTCGCTCGCTCGCTCGCTTGCTCTCATGCCCATCTGCTCTACTGTGAATAAAGAGAATTTTTTTTTTTTTTAAGAAAAGAGAAACCAAACAGTATCTATGCCCAGGAATGGTGGTGCCAGGGGATTATTTGAGGGGTTGAGTCAATTTAGTCAGGAGTGGAATTACGTTTGAGGTTGGTTCATTTTTCAGTGCACCAAAGTCTAAAGATTACCTTCAGCAACTGGCTGCTCTTAACTTACGCCCCGTAGGTTGGTACCTGAGGTGCAAGATAACCATTTTACTTTAGTCCTTTTCCCCTTTTTTGTTTTTAAACATTTTTGCCATAGGGCACATGTGCTTGCCAGAGAGAGACAGAGGGAGGGAAAATGAGAATTTAGACCCCAGGGGTATGGCAATCCTTTCTCCTACATTCTCAGAATTTAGATGGATTTTGGGTTCTCAAGAATTTGGGCATTCAAGCACATGCACCCAGCATGGCTTTCAAGCCACTGGGTCTGGGATTAAAACCGCGGTTGATCATGTGGGATCCAGTGCCTTACCCACCGTACCACCTGCTAGCCCCTAGCCCTTTTACTGTACTTTGGTCCTGAAAGCTTTCTGTGTTCTGACAGGTCCTGTGATCCGGTAAAGGACCAGGGATTACTCCATCCAGGATTTTGCAAGCCACACAGTTTTTGTCACAACTCTTCAACTCTGTTGTTTTAACATAAAAACAGCCATCATCTACAAATAAATGAGTAGGACTGCATTCCAATAAAACTTTATTCACAAAACAGGCCAGATTTGATCCTTAGACCATAGGTTGTTGACCTCTTGTGTGGAATCTTGTTCTTACCCTCCATTCTCACCTGCCTGTCCTTTCATTGTAAGGTGGGCTCCACAAAAGCACAGGTTTTGCCTGTTTCATTCATTTCCCAAGTGCCTACAGTGGCAACTGACACATAGTAGGCTGTTAGCTTATTTTAAAAACTGAACTAGGGGATTATGTTTTGAGTATTTTTCTCACGAACAGTATTTTTCTCCTGAGTTTTTAAAGTCAATGCACTGATCTGTGTTTCAACAGATACATTTAAATAGATTGCATTTATCATAGTTACTAGTATATTTGGAATTATTTTTATTAAGTTATTGTTTCATTTTCTATTTCCTTTATTTTCTCCTTTCTTGCAATCTAGTTTTAAATAAATTTTATTTATTTCTCCTTTTGTTCTGTCTTTTTAAAATTTTTTTTTAGAATTATTTAATTTTATTCACTCTTTTTTTTTTTTTTTTTTTTTAATTTGATCAGAGAGAGACACAGAGAGAGAGAGGTAAAGTGAGAAAGCAAGCCTCCAGGTCCAGGACTCGAACCACAGTTGGCCATGTGGGAGTGTCCAATTCTTCAACCACCACACCACCTGCTAGCCCCTGTTCTTTTAATTTAGAGACTGTATATTCTGGTTAGCACTCTATTTTTCTTTTAAAGGTTTTTACCTTTGGGTGTGTTGCTCACTGGTGAGAGACAGACAGTGAGATGAAGAGTGAGAAATCACCCCCCAGGGGAGAGGGCCATGCTGCAATCGCTTCCCTTCTATTCTCCTGGGATCTTGGGCACACACCACAGACACACACCACACACACACACACACACACGGCATGATTTTCAAACCACCAGGTCTGGGTCTTGAACCACAGTGAGCCATGCGTGAGTCTAGTAGCTACTAGGTCATCTCTTTCCTCCCACACACACAAACACACACACACACACACACACACACACACCGTTTAGCTTCAATAACCAGTTAATATTTAACATACAGATTTGGCTTAGCAACATTTGAGAGTGTTCTTCCTGGACACTTTGTTCTTCCTGGGCACTTTTTGTTTTTCAGAATTACTTAATTTTATTATTATTATCATTATTATTTGCTATAGGACACATGCTCAGCAGACAGAGACAGAGAGAGAGAGAGAAAGTGAGAAAGCAAGCTGCTGGTTTGGGTCTTGAACTCCATGTGGGAGTTCAGCACCTTAACCACCATGCCACCTACTGGTCCCCCTGGACACTTTCAAGGTTCAGCACTATTTCAGTTTTGTTTTGGTTTTGTTTTTTTGTTTTTGTTTTTGTTTTTTTTTTTAGAGGTTTTTGCCATAGGGCGTGTGCACTCGCCAGACAGAGAGAGACATAGAGACAGAAAGCGAGAAATCACCCCCCAGGGGGGATGGTCACGCCGCAATCCCTTCTCCTCCATTCTCCTCTCGGGATCTTGGGCACGCATGCACACGCACCCGGCGTGAGTTTTAAGCCACCGGGTCCAGGACGCGAACCGCAGTCGACTACATGGGAGTCCAGCAACATAGCCATTACGCTAACCGCTGGTTCCCAAGACCTTAGACTATTTCAGGGTTTTTTTGTTTGTTTGTTTGTTTTTTTCCCCAGCATTTCCAATTTCTAGTTATTCTTGTCTAATAATCTAGTTTGCTTTTGGCAGTCTGTCACTCCCCTAACCCCACCTTGATCTTTTTTTTTCCCCTTTGTTTCGTAGTCAGAGCATTTTTTTCAGATTTAACTAGTTTTATTTCATTCTTCTGTATTAAATTTCCTTCTTACCAAAAATCATCTTTGGTAATTATTTCAACAACTAACTGATAGATTTCCTCCTGTGTCTGAAAATGTCTTTATTTAGTTTTATTCTTTGATAATTTAGATAGATGAACAAATTGTTCCATTTTCTTCTAGATACATTGCTACTTTCCTTCAGCTTGGGAACATTTTCAGTCAGCATCTCCTCAAATCTTGCCTCTTCATTCTTGTGATCATCTTCTAGGATCCGTGTGTATGTGTGTGAGCCCTTCATGTTTTTTGTCATGTTTTTCTGTGCATTCTGGGTAGTATTCTTAGACATATCTTACAGGTTGTGGACTGTATCTTTGACTAATGTACTGTTTAATGTATTTGACTTTTTCACTTCAGTTACTTTATTCCTAAAAGTTGTTTCTAAGATTCTTTCCCAAATAGTGCCTGTTTTCTCGAGGTACAGTCACCCCAAGCTGTTCATAAAAGGTATCTTCACTTCCAGTTCAGTGTCTTGCAAGATGAGCCTCACATTGTCCAGGGATGGATCCCAGCGGCAAACCAGTTACCCTAGCTTAATGAGGTGTCTTGAGCAGTTCATTGTTGATGCTGCCAGATTCATCGCTTACTTTTGTTATCTGAATATCCTGACGTAGTATTTCAAAAATGTAATTGGAATATAAGAAAATATAAATGTCTGCTTTCTCTAAATGGTATCATTTTACTTTGCAGTTTGAATAATTTATTAACATTCATGTTGATTGAAATCAATTCATCTGATTTATTTATTGCATATATCAAAATAGGCTGAAACTATTCCATGTTCTAAAATGTCTATAAAATACTTTATTAGACTACCTCATATGTAGACCAAACATGTCAGACTCTGGCATAAAAGAGTATGTCCTTTAAGGAGCAGCAGGTGGCGTAATGGACTCCCATGTAGTCAATCATGGTTCAAGTCCCAGACCCGGAAGCTTAAACTTAAGCCAGCACATATATGCCCAAGATCCCAAGAGGAGAATGGAGGAAAAGGGATTACAGCATGGCCATCCCCCCTGGGGATTCTTGCTTTCTGTCTCTCTGTCCCTCCAGTGAGATCATGTGCCCCATAGCAAAAATCTCTCTCCCTAAAAAAAAAAAAAAAAAAGTGCTTCCTGAGGTTCCGACGTGAATTTGATTGCTGTGAGTAGGTTAACTGAGTAGACTAGAACGTTTAGAAGTCATGCTAACAATACCGTCTTTTGGCTGTAATGTGGGTTTACCCAAACCCCTAAAATATTTTAAAATTAAAGTGACATTTGCTCAAATAAACTAAAGCAATTTCAAGTTAAATTTTTTGAAATGTGATTTGGTTAAACTCACAATATCTTGTCTTAATGTAGCTTTGGGGTTCTTGGCAAACTCCAGTTTGTCACGGAAACATTCATTTGTGTTGTTTTCCCAAGACTGCTTAGAGGTGAGTTCACTGAAGTGGGCGAGTCCTCATGTTTACTACTGTGTGTTACAGCTCTATTGGTACACCAGAAAGCCAGAATGGAACGACTTCAAAGAGAACTTGAGATTCAAAAGAAAAAGCTGGATAAACTAAAATCTGAGGTCAATGAAATGGAAAATAATCTAACTCGAAGGCGCCTGAAAAGATCAAATTCCATATCCCAAATACCTTCAGTAAGTCTTTACGTTACAGTTGTGATCTCTGTGGCCAGACGTGAGAATAGGCTATCTGCCATAAGTATAAAGGTTTGATCTAGTTTCCCCATACATGCTCTTAATACTTCTCCATACTTGCTTCTCTGTCTTTACCTTCCCCTGCCAAACTTCATTCTTTCTTTACTAATGGACATAAGAATGAAATGCAGATCTTTCTTACATGGACTTATTTTTCAGCTCGAAGAAATGCAGCAGTTGAGAAGTTGTAATAGACAACTCCAGATTGACATTGACTGCTTAACCAAAGAAATTGATCTTTTTCAAGCTCGAGGTAAAGCTCAGTGCATACGTAGCTGAAATTCATTCTGTTAATCTACCAGCTCTTTTCCCATGGCTAAAAACAGGCTTATCGATCGTAATCTGTTTCAGACAGTCATGCTTTGGACAAGCTGATGCTAAGAACTACCAGGTGTTTATTTTCTTCCTGCCCCTCCTGCTCCCTCCAAAAAATAGTGTACCTAAATGGGGAATACCTTGATGTATTTCATATCCTTAAAATCCATGAGTCACGCAGCAAGGAAAGGGAACGATTAGTATGTCCAGATGCATTATGAGAAGTATTAGTAAGATCTGTTGCAATAATATTTGTTAAGGTTCAAATGTATGTATTCATATGTTCCACTTTCCTTTTTTCCTTTTCACTTCCAAGGATTATGCTTTCAAAAGCATAATTTTATATAAATTATATATAATGTGGGTATAGATAGAGAGAGATAGATATGATTTAAAAGATACCCCTATCCCAATGGTAGTATCTTAATTAATAAGATAGAGGAGAAAATGAAAAGACAGTTTATATGAATAAATTTTAACAAAAGTGGAGGCCAGTGGGTAGCATAGTAGTTAAGGGTGCTGGACTGCCACATGGCCGACCACAGTTCGAGTCCCAAACCTGGCGGCTTGCTTTCTTACTTTCCCTCTTTCTCTCTCTCTCTGTCCCTCTCTGATCAAATAAATAAATGAAACATAAAGTTAAATGAAATATTTTTTCAAAAAACTACAGTTTATATGTTCTTAGGACAATGGTAGTTTTTTATATTTGAGCTTTGTATTGTGTTGTGGTATGTTTATAATTAAGTTCTATACAGAACTAAAAGGAAATTTTATCATTTAAAGTTAATTTTGAAGTTGAGGAGAAAGGGAAGGCAATCCTTAATCACACTTTTGTGTGTATTTCAGAATTCATTACACTAAAAGGTGATTTTTATTTATTTTTTTAAATGTCAGTTAAACTATTTATCTTGAAACAGTCATAGAAAAAAGCACCATAATTTAATGTTAGAGAGAAAAAGGAAATTAGTGCTGGTCTAAAAATACAGTCCTCAGACTTTTCCTTTTATGTAAAATCTGAACAATTATAATAACATTAGTAAAGGGTTTTTATAGACTTGGGCCACGCCATTTACTTAAGTCCATATTTGAATGTTTAAAATTAAATTATAAATTATTGTATGTTATTTTGACTGTCACACAAAGTGGGTCCATTTTTATTCTCTTAATGTTTTACAACAGTAGTTTGACTTCTGTTTATCACTTATATCTGTTTGTGAATACTGTGTTATACCTAATATAATATATTAGGAAATATGTTTTGAAATCTAACTATAACTTTATATTCTTTGAAAATCTAAACAACTGATAAGGACACCTTAGGAGGTTAGAGGTACAAAATAAATAAGCATTTTTTCTGTTTATACTGTGGTATCTTTAGAAAGAAATACTTACTTTAAAAAAATAAAATTGAATATTTTTTGAGCTACAAACACTGATATATTTACTTTTTATCTATTTCAGGACCACATTTTAATCCCAGCGCTATTCATAACTTTTATGACAATATTGGATTCGTAGGTCCTGTGCCGCCAAAACCCAAAGGTTAGTATATCCATTAAGTGGGGAAACTATGACATGTTTTAAAGTAAGATTTTAGAAAATTTTTATTTTTAAAAATCTTCCACTATAGAAGTGGAAAACTTTGACATTCTTAAATGGGTTTATTAGGAAGATATTTGTTTATCTTCATTTACATTCTGGAGGTTGGGGAGGATACAAAAGTGTGTGTCATTAGACTTTTAACATTAATATGCACGACCTTAGGAATCACTATATACTCCCCAAATAGCAAGTCTTGGTTAAAAAAAATCAAGTAGGGAGTCGGCAGATGGTGTGGCGATTTAAGGCAGTGAACTCCCATGTGGCCAGCCATAGTTAGAGTCCCAGGCCCGGCGGCTTTCTTTCTCACTTTCTCTCTCTCTGTCTCTCTCCAGTCAAATTAAAAAATAATAATAGTAAATAAAATTAAGCAAATAATTATTAAAAAAAAAAAAAAAAAAAAGAAAGAAAGAAAGAAATTCACCTAAGGACCAGTAGGTGGTATGGTAGCTAAGGTGCCAGCGTCCCCCACATGGCAGACTGTACTTCAAGTGCTGGACCTGGTGGCTATGCATGCATGCCCAAAATCCTAGAAGGAGAATGGAGAAGGGATTGAGGCATGGCCATCCCCCCTGGGGGGTAACTTTTTTTTTTTTTAAGAGAGATTTTTTTGCTATAGGTTTCATGCACTCACCAGAGAGACAAAAAGTGAGAAATCACCTCACAGGGGGATGGCCACACCACAGTCCATTCTCTTCCATTCTCCTCTTGGGATTTTGGGCACGCACATACATACATGCACCTAGTGTGTTTCAAGCCTCCAGGTCTGGGGCTCAAACTGCGGTCGACGATATTGGAGTCCAGCGACGTAACTATTATGCCATCTGCTGGTCCCTTGAGGGGTGATTTCTTACTTTCCTTCTCACCGTCTCTCTCTCTCTCTCTTTCTCTCTCTCTCTCTCTCTCTCTGTCTCTCTCCAGCAAGTGCACACACCCTGTGGTAAAAACCTAAAAAAGACATGGGGCCAGCAGGTGGCATGGTGGTTGAGCACTGGACTCCCACATGACTGACTGAGATTTGAGTCCCAAACCTGGCAGCTTGCTTTCTCACTTTCTCTCTCTTTGTCTCCCTCTATATATATTGTCTATTAAAATAATAATAATAAATAAAATTAAATCATTCTAAAAATTTCAAAGAAAAAATAAGATAACAAAAAAAGGCAAATGTAAAAATGTATATTCTTTGAAAATTTAAGCAACTGATAATAAGGACACCTTAGGGAAGATTATTTTTCATGCACATTCTGTTTTATTTTATGTATACATAATTCTGAGTAATCAAGATACCCTGGATTCCAGATGGATAGTTTTCAAAAATTATTGCGTACAATCATTATACATCATTAAGATTCACAGAATACCTGCACAACAAACTAGGATATAAAATATACCTGTGTTTTATCCAGGCAATAAAATATATATTAAAATGGAAACAGGTGCATAACTATCATTGGTGAAAGTAAATATGTAGACATATGCAGATTAAATAACACTGTAGTTGTGATGCATAATTTACTTTTAACTCCAATATATGAAAAAAAAGCAAATTTTGTCCCTAACAACACAAAGTGTAGCAGAGTTGGGGCAGTAGTAAAGATGTAGTACTTTTGTATGCAGTGGAAGTTAAGTTGTTATCAACCTAAAGTAGAATGGTATAATGAGACAGTATTTAATGTAAGCCTCAAGATAACCTGAGAGAAAATCTATAATAGGTACACAAAAGGGAGAGGGAAAGTCATGAAATAACAAGAGACATTAAGAGAGTCAGAGAGGCACAACTGCCCAGTAGACGGGAAGCAAGAGAATGGCAATACCAAGTCCTCGCTTATTTATACTTACCTTAAATAGACTAACACTGTCTCTGTAGAAAAGGAGTCATTCTATAACGATGAGGATCAGTACAACAGGAAAATGGGACGATTGTAAATACACACGTGCACTCAGCATTAGAGCACTTACATAGGTAAAGCAGACATTGGCAGCCCTGGAAACGGGAATCGACAGCAGTGGTAGTAAAGGGACTTAAGACTTCTTACAATAATAGAACATTCCGCCAGAAACTTAAAAGAAACTGCTGGTTTGAACAGCTCTGTAGACCAGACCTAATGGCTGTATGCAGAACTGTCCACGCAAAGAAAATACACATTCATTCTTTCCTTTTTTTTTTTTTTCATTCTTTATTTTTAAACTTTTTTAGGTTTTTGCCATAAGGTGCATGCACTTGTCAGAGAGGAAAAGTGAGAAATCACCCCCAAACTGTGTTTACAGTTGTCACTGATACTCACTTTGTGGCCTTTTGGCTAAGATCAGGTGTGAAATGATCAGTAACTTTTCAGATTTTGCTTTTTACTTCTAAAATGATGTTTTTGCTTCCTTCCAGATCAAAGGTCCACCATTAAAACACCAAAGACTCAAGACACAGAAGATGATGAGGGGGCTCAGTGGAATTGTACTGCCTGTACTTTCTTGAACCATCCAGCCTTAATCCGCTGTGAACAGTGTGAGATGCCCAGGCATTTCTGAGCCAGAAGGCCCTATATCCTCTCTAAAGCCACATCTGAAGTTCAAGAAACTAGTTTGTCACCGGGGAACAGTTTCACTGCTACATAGGATTTTGTCAGATTGGAGGTGTGACAAGATGGCGTTATGCTAATATTCAATGTCAGCCCACAGAGCTAATAATACCTCAGTGTGATGTCCTGGGCAGGTGAAGTTCATCACAAGGAAGGTGATCTGCTGAAAGACGTGGCTGCCGCTGCCCCACCGTGCACAGTGTTACCAGTGTCCCGCATGGATCACTCAGCGTGTTCATGCCTAGCTGTTCCCAGTACCTTTTTCCCCTCATGTCGCTACTGAATTTTGACAGGAGGAAGGAATGGAACGATAGCTTTTTTTATTTTAAAGCTTTCAGTGAAACACTACGTACATGAAGAAAAGGAACAAGGTTTAACTATTTAAAAACTTTGCTGCCGCATAGCGCGGGTGGCTAGGGGAAGAACTTCACGAATCTGTGGTACTCTTGGCCTCGTCTCTGTCTTCCCTGAAAACGTCTCCCTCTGTGAAGCCAGCATCTAGGGTCTCAGTGGAAAAGGAGAGCAGCATGCGTGGTCTGTACCAGCGCCCAGCGACCCCCAGAGCTTTTCCTCCTGTACAGATCTCTCGAGTCTGCCTTAAGTGATTGCTCTTCTTCATTATTTTCTTATATTTCTATATGTATAGTGTAATAGCCTTTTGTTAACTAATTTTCTTTTTTCCTTTTAGTGGTTAAGCACGATCATGTCCCCTTTTAAGCCTTACCAGAGAGAAGCAATGCCTTAAAATAAAAAAGCATTAATGACATGAAACTATGCACAAAATAACTGTCTTCTACTTACTCTGTACTTTGCCCTCGTGAGTGCCGATGTTCTGTGAAGACATCCAGATACCGCACAGTGGATTGCAGAAAAGTATCACAAGCGTCAAGGCAAGAATTCTTGCGAGTATACAGGCCACACTGTATTCTGACTTCGGCAGTGGGTGACACAGTGTTTTGTCTTCCACAGTGAAGCGTAAAACAAAAGGTATTTTTAACCCGCTGACGGAGCTTCATCTGCTTGGTGTCCCACAGAACGTTCCTAAGAGATTATTGGGAAAGTACAGATTCAGAACCAGCGACAGCAGCAGTACCCACAGCCCTGTGGTTGGAGAAAAGCTTAGTGCTTTACCGTTGGGGCAATCCATCTCTAAACCTGACTTGGTGGCAGTGTCATGTGTATTTATAAAACAAGGCTAGTCACATCTAGGACAACTGAAGAAAAGCTGGAAAAAAAGAAAAACAAGCAAACTTGAACACTGAAGCAACCTCAAGCATCTCTTTATTTTGATGATATATTTTTGTAAGGAAAATAAATATTCAGATGATCAGGAATGTATATAACTAAATGAAATCAGAAAAGAAATAACAGTATGCATTTAAAAAGACAGAATTATGAAATTATATATCAGTGCTTAGAGTGGGGCTAAGGGAGGTGCTGAAATACAGCAAAAGACAGGGGCTAATGTAGACCATCACCCACTGTAAATATTTGCAAGTGGCTCTGTTTTAAATAAACAGGAAGGTTACAGGTGATTTCTAGGAATGTCAAGGTCTTGACTTTCAGGCTTTGCATTTTGTATATGGGAAGAAATCTGACAATCCTACTTAATTAGACAATAGACCCGAAGCCCTTACGTTGATGCATTTTGTTTTAAAAACAGGCCTTGTTTTTCAGCTTCATCTGCAGTTCTATGTGAAGATTGATAAATCAGTTTTTACTTGTTTTATTAATAAAACGTAATTTGGATATCTTGAGTTTATGGTTTTGTGATTTAGCTGGGTAAACTATCTTTGTAACAGATAAGTTATTTATAAAAATTAAAAAAACTTATATTCTAAAGTGTATTTTGTGACTTGTTTTTAAAATTTGTGGGACAGGAGATCAAACCTCAGCAGAACACTTAATTATTAACTGATATCAAAGAAGGCTCATTTTGGTCTTCTCTTGACATCATGACATTCAGCTTTATTTCTTGGGGGTTTTTTGTTTCATTTTCGTTTTCATTCACTTGCCAGATGGTGCGTGCACTCACCAGAGAGAGGAGAGAAAGCACCCCCCCCAATGGGGCCTGGTCACACCACAATCTCTTCCCCATTTCTCCACTCTGTCAGGATTTGGGGTGCAGGGCACACACACCCAGCATGTTTTTCAGGCTGGCCAGGATTCAGATGGTGTGGTTGGCCATGTGGGATGTAGCTACCTAAACCGCCAGGCCCCAGAGCTGGCCAGTTTCCTGGGTTATCGTTATCATTTTTCCCCAGACTGCTTTTTCACAGATGAAGTAACCATGTTTCAGCCAAGTCAGAAAAATGGTCATGCTTTTTACAAATTTCTGTTTGTTACAGCTTTTCCTTTCATTTACTTTTTATTTTTGGAAATTTACTCTCTCATTGAAGAGAAGTGTGATTTCTTGGGCCGTTTAGCCTGAGCAGTCGTTCAGTTAGTACTCGCTTTGCGATGTGTAGGTGTGAGGATAGTGGTGCTTCTCAAAGAGACCTGGTGTTCAGTTTTCAGAAGATGGCAAGTTTTTTTTTGAGCTTGCAGAGAGCAAAGTGGCATTTGCTCATCTCTGCTATAACTGCAGAAAGGCCTGCCCTGAGTGGTCTAAACAGGGTGGGAAGGAAACAGGCTTTGCCAGGAACAGGAGCCCCAGGCCTGTGGTCTGGAGACTGCCTTGGGAAGCGACTGTGCTAATACAGGATTACAGGTCTAAGAGCCTCCCCTGGGTAGAGGTGGGCCAAGTGTGTCCTGACGTGAATGTTCCATGGGTGCTAACGTGCTCTATGTCTAGAGAGGTGTGGGGTGCAGTAGGGGTGATCGATAATTCATATAAACTAGATGGGAAAAAAATTGTTTTTAATTTGCCAGAGGGTGTGTGCACTCATCAGAGAGACAGAGGGAGAAAGCGCCCCCTACCCAAGGGGCATGACCATGCCCCAGTCCCTCTCCCTTTCTCCACCCTGTCGTGATTTGGGGCATACACACACATACACCCTGTGTGTTCTTCAGGCTGCCAGAGCCAGGTTTTGAACCACAGCCTGCCAGGTGGGATCCAACTACCTTAACCCTCCGACCACAGGGAAAGCTTTGATATGAATAGACTGTTGGCTGGTATCTACTATAATAAGGAATACTGTTATACAAAGATGTGTATTGCGTTGTAAATTTTGTCAGAAAAAAAATTAGATGATCAACTTGGATCAGCCTATAATACTTAGCTCTCACAAGACTGAACAGAGTTTTGGCTCCAGTTTTTTAAATCTACAGTTTCATATATACATTTTACTTGAAGACATAATGTCTCAGAACTGCATTTTAATTTTTATTGTCTCTGTCTGAAAATACAGACAACTGAAAGAAAAGGAAAGATCTAAAGAAAACCATTTTTTTTTGTAGCTCTGTTATTTGTCAGATTAGGTCTTCCCTCCACAGCCGGTGGTGGGCTGGTTTGGTGTTTGGCCCACGGAGGTTTAAACCCACTTCACAGAGGTACTGTGAGGACTGACAGGACACCCCAAGCCAACGCTTCTAAAAACTCTTACCCTACAGCAGTGGGTCGTTTTTGCACAGATGGGTTTTGAGGCATTTTCTTCTCCACTGTATTAACAGATAAGTTTGCTGTTCGTTTCTCTGATTAATAGGGATATCTCACTGGATCGGAATATGCTGTTTTGATACTGGCATTGAATTTCTCCCTCTTAATGCCAATTCTATTACTTGGCTAAGATTCTAGAAGTAGCACCAGGCTGATCTGAAGGGCAGTTGTGCCCATTCCTGTGGCACGTCCTGCTGCCTAAGAAGTGGGTGTTTTAGGATGGAGTTTAACTAATTTCTCCAGGAAAGTAAACACTATTCCAAAGACTTAACTCCAGTCTTCACATGTCTGCATCTTCCAAGCCTAAAACTGATTGGAGACCCACTTTACCCTGTGCCTCCCGCGTCATGGATCCCTTCTTTACCTCCTCTTCCTGAGGGCAGCCTTCGCCTGGCCCTCTGTGCAGACATGCTGCAGTCCGCCCCACGTGGGATGCTTGTCAGAGCTTGTGAAAGCAACTCCCCTGCACCTTGGCGGCCTTTCATGCGGGACCAGACTTCGGCCTTTGGGTGCCCTCCCGCCTTGCATGCAGCCAGCCCACGGTGCACGGCGGATGCAGCCCCCGGCTCGGAAATCGTCCCCCTCCACCCGGCCGGCTTGTCTGCTTCTACCTGCGTCTTCGGGATCCTTAGGCACTGTGACAGAATCCTGCAGCTGAAGTGGGTTATTCATTTCCCTCCCATCTGTCTTGCACGTCCCCAGCAGGGCACTCTGCCTGGCCCAGATCCCTTGTCTCTACTTCACTTTAACCCTTCAAAGATCAGGTCAAGGGTCGGGGTCATGAGGTCTTTCCAAACTGCATGTTCCCTGGAAGCGTTGCCGTGTTGTCTGCCTGCTCGGTTTATTCATTGCGACCTTGACCTCTCCCTCTCTGCACCCTGGCAGGGTGGGCATCAGGACGTGTTCCTGTGCCCTCATGGTCAGTTCCCTGTGACACAGGAGTGTGATCATCGATGGCGGTCATCACTCTTAACCTGAAGGCAACTGGATTTCTGTAGCATTTGCTCACGTTACCTTGTGGGTAAAGCCACTTCGAATTTTTATGAATGGGGTCTTCAAAAAGTTCATGGGAGCTGTATTGGGAAAAAGCTGCATGAATTTCAAACTTTTTTTTGGCACCAAAATAAACATGTACTAATGTACCTTCCCACCTTTCCACTAACTTTGGAAGTCCTCGTATTTTCCCATAGAACCAACAGTACAGGTGAGAGGTTCCCAGCCCAGCCTACTGCTGAGCTGAGATGCTTTGCATTTAACATACTGACATAAGGGACCAGCAGATGGCATAATGGTTACGTTGCTAGACTCTCATGTTGTTGACTGTGGTTTGAGTCCTGGACTCAGTGGCTTTAAAAAAAAAACACCGGGCACATGTGTATGCGTGTGTGCCCAGATCCCAAGAAGAGAATAGAGAAGGGATTGTGGTGTGGCCATCCCCTCTGGGTGGTGGCTTCTCACTTTCTGTCTCTCTATCTCTGTCTCTCCATGAGATCACGTGCCCTAAAGCAAAAATATCTCTCGAAGATAAAAATGCTGACCTAAGGTAGTACTATTGGGATATATAAAAGTAACAATGAAGTTAACTAAGAAATACTGTTTGAGTCGTCCCCATGGAGGAGGACAGGGGAGTAGAGAGCTTTGTGGGTATTCTGGGAAGACTGGGAATTGGTTTGAAATCCAGGCCCTGGTTCTCTTACATCCAATTACACTTCAGAGCTTAAATTTGTTTTCTTTTTGAAAAGAGATTTTTGCTTCAGGGTGCATGTGCTTACTGGAGAGACAGAAAACAAGAAATGTCCATGCCACCATCTCCTTTCCTTCATTCTTCTCTTGGGACCCTGGGCACACGCGCACCCACGCCCAGCATGAGTTTCAAGTTGCTGAGTCCAGGACTCAAACTGCAGTCGACTACGTGGGAGTCTAGCAATGTAACCATGACGCCAACTGCTGGTCCCTTAAATTTGCTTTTTTCTTGGACACAAGTATTTTGAGTCTACGTAATGAGGGTCCATGGGGTTGGGTGGGGTGGGGAGAGTAGTGAAGTGCTCACAACTGCAGCAGAAAGGGACAGGGAAGTTACTTGTTGAAGAAAACTGACTAAGAGAAAAGGAAAGAAGAAAACTGAATGCAAAGTGTAATCATCTTTCTTCCCCTTCCCTGAGAAAGTGGAAAGAATTCTGATGAAAGTGTGAAGTGCAGGGAGCAGGGATGTTTGTGTTTTGGTAAATGGAGTTTCTACAACCAAGACACTGACTGGGTGAAGACTTGAAACAAGCCTGCACTTACGACCTGAATCGGCTGGGTGTCATAATCACTACCTTTATGGTTCTTTTTTTTTCTTTTCTCTTTTTTTGGAGAGATTTTCACTATAGGGCACATGCGATCACCAGATAGACAGAGACATAGAGACAGAAAGCGAGAAATCACCCCCAGGGGGGATGGTCACGCCGCAATCCCTTCCCTCCATTCTCCTCTCGGGATCTTGGGCACGCACGCACACGCGCCCAGCATGAGTTTTAAGCCACCGGGTCCGGGACGCGAACCGCAGTCAATTACGTGGGAGTCCAGCGACATAGCCATTACGCCAACTGCTGGCTCCCCTTTATGGTTCTTGATAATAAATCTTTCACATGCCCTTTTGCTGAAGTGCCAGATACTTTTTTTAAGAGTTATTTTATTTAACTTAGTTTAGTTTAAGAGAGACAGAGAGTGAGAAAGCAAGCCACCGGGTCCAGGACTTGAACCACAGTCAGTCATGAGGCAGTCCAGCATTCTCAACCACCATGCTACCTGCTAGTGCCGCCAGATACTTTTTATAAAAGAACAGCTATGGGGAACCAGCAGTTAGTGTAATGGCTATGTCGCTGGACTGCCACACACAGTCGACCGCGGTTCGCGTATCGGACCCGGTGGCTTAAATCTCACGCCAGGCGCGTGTGCGTGCGTGCCCAAGATCCCGAGAGGAGAATGGAGGAGAAGGGATTGCGGTGTGACCATCCCCCCTCGGGGGTGATTTCTTGCTTTCTGTCTCTATGTCTCTGTCTGTCTGGCGAGCGCACGTGCCCTATAGCGAAAACCTCTCAAAAAAAAAAAAAAGTTAAAAAAAAAAAAAAGAACAGCTACGCACACACTTTAGAACCCTAATTTACTAAC